AATTAAAATTGTATTACTTTTAAAATTTTAATCACTAATTTAAATACTAATTCATTATTATTTGTCTAAAAACTTAGTTGGCCATGACTATAATAAAATTTTACTATTGCCGTTTTAATTTTGAATATGTTATTACTTATTCCGATATTTTTCATTATCACCTTCATTTTTAGGTTCTGAGTAGCAACTAGCAAGGAATGTATTGGTTTCACTATTGTGTTTTTTTTTTTTTTAATTTTTCTATCTTTAAACAGCTTTTCTACCAAAAATCTTGCTCTAATCAAAAAATTCAAAAACATGTTTTGTTGCATTTCGGATTTAGTTAGTGCTATAAAAGGATAATTTTTTGATTTTCCAAATGATTTTCATAATTACGGGAAAAAATAGAAAAAAAAATAGTAGGAAAACGGACAAATATTTACGGTGCGCCAATTAATCAATTATATTGTTTAAAATTTTTTAAGTATCATCTTTAAATGACCAACAAGTAACTTTCACGGGTAATTTAGAGTTAGACAACCATATTCTTTCTTTTTGGAATAAGGTATTGAAATTCGGCTGAGTTCATTAATGTGTCCGTAATAAGTATCTTATATTATGCATTGGTCAGAATCGTGCTTTGTTTGAATATAGTTGTATTATGTGGTCTCCTTATCCAAAACATCCTATTTTTAAACCTTGTTTATTTAAAAAACGCCTTAAATATAAATCAGACTACTCTTTTAATGATCTGTGTTTAGAAGAACGCCGAATAAAAGATTATACGAAATTTAGTTAGTGGTGAAATCCACTGTCCAAAATGATTAAAAAAGCTCAGTTTTCATGTTCCTAAGTTCTGAGATCTCAATCGGTTTTAATGATCCCGTTCCATAGGTCTAATTATGGTAACATAGCACCCTTAGTCAAGACGAACTTATCAGTACTAGTAATTGTGATTTTTTTCCATGATAATTTAAATTTATTAACTTCTAATGTCTTGTCTTGTAATGATACCCAGTAATTTGTTATTAATATAAATTTTCGTTTACTTGCAAAATCAGCATAAAATGCCTTCGGGTGTCTATCATTTTTATTATTATCTGTAATCTTGTTATGGTAATCGTCTATATAAATAAAACAAAGTTGGGTTAGTTACACCATTTATAACTCAAGAACGACTGGACCGATTTAGATCTCCGCTCCGAATAACAGAATAACTATTAAAATATTGGAAAGATTCACGTGAAAATTTATAGGAGTTTTTATGTATATTTGGTACGAATATCTAATTGCCTGTTTATTTATTTTTGTTTATTCAAGGATTGCCATGGAAAAGAAAACTATTATAATTATTATTATTACTATTATTAACTCTATTAAAATTTCACAATAGAACACAATGAGTCCGCCGAAGGTGGACTACCCACTTTCCACCTATTTTTGTTCATTCAATTCTGACATCACGGCCAAAACCAAAAATGAATATGGGTAAAATAATAATACAAGTTGGCACGGGCGATGCCGAGTGCGGGACAGCTAGTAATAAATAAATAATAGTAAAATATTACATTACTGTTATTTTTTGCCACCCTTATTTTAAGGGGTGAAACTTTTGATTTTTCAATAACAACCTATGTTAAAAATTCCATAAATAGATGAAAAAATAGTTAAAATACATTTTGGTGTTGAGATTTTTGATTTCCGTCAACTCGATAATTCAAAACGTTTTTAATAGCACGAAAACATATGTCGTTAGCATTAAGTTATAATTGCATTCAGGCTCATTTTCATGCAATTATCGTCTTCTCTTGAATGTGTTTATCCGTAAAATCCTTATAGTATTCTATCCTTATAATATCAATAACAAAAATCGTTTTCGTCCAATAATATTCGAATCATTACTTAAATTTCGAATTCATTACATTGCACAAGGGTTTTTTAATTTGTTTATTATGCTTTGTTCGGAAATATTTTATTACTTTTGATTTTAATAACACGTTTCTAGTCTCGTCATTCGCCGGACGTTCATTGAGACTCGGTATGATTATTATCATATTTTTTTTTTCTATTATTATTATTCTGTTTATTGGACCAGCCCTCTTGCAAGTAAAGGGCTATTGCTTTTTTTTTTTCTGACAACGTGACGGTGCCATTGTGTAAATTGTTATAAACACACACACACACATCGTGCTGATGCGCAGCCAATATGCAGAGGACTTTTTTTCGGGGATAAAATACTGAAGTGGCACATCCGCCAGAAAACAAATATTATTTAAAACGGACCTCTCGAAAATATTGTTATTTTATAGTCAAAAGCGAATTATCTACCGGAATCGAGTGTAAATAGAAAAAAATAGAAATATAAAAGAAAAACGGTTTCTACACATTATGTATACGTAATTTTGTCCACAAAATGCAATGGTTTTTTTTATTATTTTAATTTCCACAATCAATATAATATTTCAAAACTATTTAAACGTCAAAAAAATACGGTATTTCGCCTAAGGCATTTTAAACAAAATATATTATGTTCACAAAATCCTTGCTTCAATCGAAAAATAACAAAAGACCTTTTTTGTTCCATTTTGTATATAATTGATACATTACTTAAGGTTACTTTTTTATTTTTCAAGCGATTTTCATAATGATTGGAAACACCCGCGAAAAAAAGGAAAAGAAAAGCGTTCATGACATCATTAGGGTAGGATTTTTTTTTCCACCACAAATATTGTACCAAAATTCAAGTGTAGCATATTTTCTTAAAGAAAATGTTTCCTAGTTGCAGGTGTCTAAATTCATAGGTCGTTATAAATTTAATAACTTCTTGTACTCCCTACCTTCTCAAAGTTCTACTTACAAGAGTAGCACTAGCACTCCTAGTATTAGCTCTTTTTTTTTTTACATATTATCGTATTTTGTATTTGTAATCGTTTCCATCTATCGATTAGTCCATTTTATTTTAGCGTATAGTTTCTGATTACATACAATAAACTAATGATAAAATGGTAACATAAAATACGTATAAAATAATTAATATAGTAAAATGAATAACAGTGTATAATATTATCATGGTACCTAATTAAAATACTCGGTATTTAAATTTGGAGACCTAATTTCTCCAGCCATTGAATAAATTTGTGTGGGTTGGTGAAACAAACGATTTTACGCACTTAATAGGAGCACGAGCGACGGCTTGAGCATTCGAAAACGATGTAGTTAATGGTCTACTTCACTACACCTCAATCACAGTCTGGTGAATTTCTTATGTTCCATTTTTATTATTAGTCCATAAGGATTTTCGTTGCTATCATTATTTACCAATAATCAGGGTGAGGCAGTATCACAATTATAAATCTTGCATCATTTTGTGCTGAAAGACACTCGAACATCTTTTAATAAAATAAAATTAAAAATTAAAATAATGAACAACACCAAAAAATTGTTCGTGTTACCTTTTTGATAATAAACACTCATATTGGTATAACGGGTCAATTCAGTCCTAACTTTAGGTAATTAGATCCAGTGTAGAATTTTTTTGAACGGGTCAAAATGTTCCTCCTGAAAAACCTGGTCAGATCTGACATTCGAATATCCCTATTGATAATTTCATCCAATTCGATCCAATTGGGGTTTTTTTGATACATCAGATCAAAATATCACCTTACCGACATTTATGATATATACATAGTACGCTCTACGTTTCAAAGGTACAAATAAAAAAAGTAAGTAAGTAGACTCATATTGAGCGTTTATTTTCTTTTCTTGAGTTTGTACATTGATCGTATATATCCAATTTATCAACCAAAATATTTGAATACTTGAAAGATTAATAATTCTTTAAAAGGACAAACAAGTATTTGTCAGTATAAATACCTATTTTCGATACTTGTATTATGAATCTAGTATATTTTCTAGTTTTGTAATGTATCAAGATAATAGTTTGTTTAATATCTTGCCCAACTCTGCTTATAGTAAAATAAGTAAAAATGACGAACAATTAATGTATAGACGTTGTGAAAAATACGTTTTTATCTATATATGTATTTAATTTTTTAGCTATGTACATTACGATATTAATCATATTAACCACATTATGGCGGATATAATAATAGGTAAGCCTGTCTATAAATGATTGTAGACAATATATTAAATTACATTACATTATACTCTTGGCGGACAATAATTATTACGTGGGCATTATTATTGTGCGAACATATCGTCTGGAAATCATAAAAAAAAAAAAAACCACCCGAAACTATTATAAGTAAAATATAACTATTACGATTTTATCTAAGTATAATATACGAAAATAAAAAACATTATAAAACTCCCCTTTTCCCCCTCCCCCCCGTGGTTTATATATTTTATATAATAATAATAATTTATACAGTGTGGCGCTTGACCCGGTGGCGGTGCGTACCACCCCGTTACCGGCTCAGAAACATTAATCCGACACGGTTATTCGTTACCTATTCGTTATTATTACGATTATTATAAATACGGCAGGCACCTGTCATTATTCACCGACGCGTATATATTTAAATGCATAGATATTCACGAAACGTCGCCGCGGTTCAACACTTTGGCAATTATTTCTATTATTATTGTTATTCTCATTGATACCTATAATAATATTGTAATAACTACTGATAATATTATCAATAACGCATTCGTGCTTATGCCCCGTAATAGTAGTGGTAGTTATAGTGGTAACGTGGTATACATCAGGAGCGTTAGGCCGTTATAATATTATTATTATAGAAGGCTGTATTGTATAATTACATAAGGATGTCGCGAAAATTACGTCGTCTTCATTATATTATTAATACGTACCTATATATGTATACCTAACCTATTTTGTTTTTGCAGACGTTAATCACGTATACACTACCTAGGTATCTATATTATTATTCACTCGGGAAATAAATCACCCGCCGCCGTCGCCCCCTTTCAAACTGCAGCAGCCGGATAACAAGGGAAACGGGACCCGTTGTTGGTTGCCGGAGATAAGGGTCAACCGAATGGACTTGGAAGACCGGAGGATATTACGCGGTCGTAACGAGACTGCGCCAAAGACCGAAATAATATGTCACGACGACGATAGAAAAAACAACCGTCACAAAGCGAAGACGTACAATCGCCATCGTCATCATCGAAAGACTACCACGGGAAAGTCACTGTGAGTTTTTCCATTTAAATTGTATTATATTGTTTCGTAATTCATATAGACGAAGAAAAAAAATACCAAATTTACGAATTGTGTAACCCCTTAAAACTGTTAAAAGTGGTTGCGTATTTATTATCTCCCACTCCTTTGCCATTCTTTTTGCGTTATAATGAGTTTAGTTTTTCAAATTCAAATATTGCTTTACTTTTTAATACAAAAAATCAAACATGACGTAATTGTACTTATAGTTAATTCATCAAAAACATGAACCTACAAGGCTAAAATACTATTTTTTATTTAAAACGAAACCTATTGGAACCACTATATTTGAAAAGGTTAGATACCAACTTAATACCTATAAGTTATTTGGTTAAAATGATAATTTTAGTCTTTATTATGGCAGATCGATTTATAAACTACTATAAAATATGTAAATTAAAAACTGATCTGATTTTGAGCCTATAGGCTATAATAGGTAAACGTTATACCAATACAATAAAATACAATTTCCATTACTCTTTCCTTGGGAAACTCGTACATATGCCACATGCCTGAAAGTTATAATATTTTTAAATTTGTTCAAGGAAAAAATTATAAATATTCTATTGTTGCGTAACGTTAATTTACATATATATGTGTGTATAAAATATCGTTGAAAAAAGTACAATTTCTTTTTAAAATTATTGTATAATTTACTGAACATACACACGTGTACATATTGATTTAACAGAGTCGGGTGACTTTCTGTTCTAGTTATGACTAACTATATAATATACGACCTTATGAAAATTTTATTATAACCAATAAATTATACCTACTGCTATGACGTACCTACCTATAATTTCATTTTGCTTTAAAATATACAGTTCTATAAGAACACATTTTTGAATTTCGAGAAAATTATCGACTACGTAGGTATTTAAATCGTGGTTGTTTCGTCACAATAATAATTATTATGTATACAATTTTAACCGAATAACAAATCGATTTCCTTTTATTTTCATAAAACAAATTGTGTACATTATATGATATTGGTTTTATTTAATAATAAAAAAGTTTGCTCGACTTCTGCTACTGAATATCTTATAAAGTTTGAATATCAAACAAAATCGAGAATTATACAAACAAATTATAATTTTTCATTTTTAAATATTTAAATTATTTATATACAGAAAAAAGCAAAAATAAAATACATATATATATATATATATATGTATACAGAGTGTACCAGAAAAAATGTCAAATTCTGTGGGATAGTACTCTATATAGGTGCCCTTTAAAATAGATTTTTTTAAAAATATTTTGAATGTCAAAAACCTTGGATTTACTAGGTTTATTTGTAAATTATCCATACAAAATAAACATAAACCATACTGGAGAATTTCTTGCAAAATTAAAATATTATCGGCAATATTTAATAGTAATAGTTTATAGCTAATAATAATTATTCTTATTTTCGTTAGCTGTCCAAACCCATACTCTATATTATACTCTGTTTTACTATTTACTTCTACATAATATTATCCTTAGTCACTATCCTTTAAGTGCTACTCTCCATTCCTTAAACCTATTGCTAACTTCTTTCAGATTTTCTCCTATTAAAACTATATCATCTGTAAACATCATGCATCTCCTTTCCCTGGTTGTCCTTAAAAAATATCCGAAATGGATCTATCCACCCAAGTCTTCCTTAGAACTTCTCATACTGTTTGACACAATTTTACGCCGCCTGTCGACCTAACGCAAAGCTAATAATAATAAATAATTCTAATATTTAATAAAAACTACTGAATTTATTTATTTATTATTTTAGTTTCTCAGTGGAACGAGGAATGTATTGGTTTTACAATAATGTTTATTATTTATTTTTTCTGTAAACAAATTTTCTACCAGAAATGTTTCCCAGGAATTTTCATATTAAATGGGAAAAAAACGTAGGAAAAAAAAGGAAAATGTAGGAAATGTATTTTATTAATTTATAATCGTATAATATCACGGCCTTTCAAAACATGTTTAACCGAACTCCGCTCAGAATCGTTACAGTGACCCACCCATTGTATGAAGTATGCCCGTATTTTTTATTATCAAATTAGCCGTATTTTTCTGATAGAATCATTAAATTGATTCTACGAAGATCGCAGAAAAATGTACACACACATTCATGAATCGATTTTAGATACGATGAGTCAAAAATATCGGCGATAATGATAATTTTTTGGAAAAGTTGAGTGAGAATCGAAAGTTCAAAAATCGAAAGTTTTGACATTACAAAAAAATTTAAAAAAATCCATTCTGAAAGCCACAATGCCACATATAATATATAGAGAACCATTCTGTAGTTGGTCATTTGTTTCTGGTACACTCTGTATATAAATTCTATATATATTATTTTTGCGTAAGCTTAAAAACTGTATATACTTACCCGTTTATATACATTTTATTTTAATAATGGAGCGTCGTTATAACAAATGAAACAGATAAAACTGAATAAAAAGGGTTACGATTTAAAAATTAAGAGTTTGCGACGCCGATTTTATTTAATTTAAATAAACAGTGGAAATTAATAATATCCGTGAATAGTTTAATTTTTATAGAAACTGAATGCAGAACGAATAAGTTAAATGTTTAGCTTTATACATATAAATTGCTACAGTATTTTAGTTTTATCCGTAAAGTGTGTGATTTTGTATACAATAATACAATATAATACAATACAATATAAATAATACAATACAATATAAATAATACAATATAAATTGATAAACAAAAAATATTTTATCAATATAAAATATTAGAAATTAAGAGAGCTCATTTTAACTGATCGAAAATATTTTTCTTTGCATTCTGAATGTATTCTGTTACACAAATTCCAAGATTGGTTATACGATTGTATACTATAATGACACACTAAATATCTGAATAAGAGAAATGAAAATTTCAAAATGAGGAGAGGGCTAACGATACGAACATTGTTTTTAGACTCTAAGTACAACGAGGAATGTTGATTTCGCTGTGATGTGTTTCATTTTTTCCGATCATCAAGTGTAACATTTTTTCTAAAATAAAATGGTGTCTATTGAGTGCACTGAGGTTTTTTTTGGATTTACTTGTGGTTTTCTTAATAATTGGAAAAAAACGAAAACTTAGTTGTTTAATTTTTGATAATTTCTGGGTTATCGTTTTTTTTTCAATAATTTATTGTTGAATACAATATATTTTAAACTAATTAACTCCGTGTATAGTATCATCTTAGGAAATATTAAAATGCAAACATCTGTACTTATACACAATATTATTTTTATAAGACTTGGCTGTCAAAAAAAAAAAATAATAACAATAATATCACTATACTTCAATTACTTGTACAATAGATTCTCATAGGTTTTTGAATAATGAAATATGTTTAATTTAATATAAATGCAAATACCTAAAGATACCTACATATAATAATTATTATATTCTTATAAACATTATTCGTATTATAATACGAAACCTTAGTAAAAAGTAGAAAATACTTAAACCTTTAAAATTATAATATCATTTCGCTCTGTGTACACTTCGATTTCATTTATTATTTTAGATTCTAAGTGCACAGTGAATAAGCTATTAGTTTAACAATAACAAAGAGTGTTTTTCTCGGAAAACACTCTTTGGTCAGTAAAAATTCTCCGATTCTGTTGGGTCATATCTTAAAAGAAACGAATTTTTGACCGGGTGATACTTTATTTGAAATTTCTAATACGTTTTCCAAAATTACTTTATATGTTGTTTAATACTTTTTGGTTGTCTATCTACTTTTTTTTATACAGTATCTTTAATGATGAGGAATTTCCACCCGATTTACATGTTTTGAAACATTTATTAGAGTTTTCGATAGTTCGCTCCCTAAATATTTTTTGGTTGATTTCTGGGTTACTTTGGTTATGATGCAAAAATCACGAGTAATATAGAAACTACTATAATACTACTCCGCTCAGAATCGTTTGTTTTGTTTTTATATATGAATAAATTATAGCCTGTGGATATATTTGTTATCCTTAATCGCAACGTTTCACTAATCCGGTCAATTATGCAGCTCACTAAACGTTAATATTTTATACAAATTAAAATTTTTAAACACGTACATATATGCGAGTACATGTTGTTATTATATTTTATGTTCTTGTACTTTATCTGTTACGGGTTTTTTTTTTATCTGTTAGAAAACGTAGTATAAAAAAACTAATGCATTTTTATTTTATTGTTTAACAAAACTAAAAATTAAACATAATTATTCAATGAATATACAATTTACAATTGCTTTTACAATATCATAAATTAGTAACCAATATTTTAGATTTTGAGGGAAATGAGGAATAAAGATAGTCGTTTTTTGATTTAGGCTTCTAAATAATTATTAGGAAAAAACGGGGAAAACGTAAGAAAAATGGGAAAGTCTCCATAAACTTAAACAAGGGAATAATAATTTCATTATTTTCAATTTAATGACATAGCTAGGATATTCCTTTAGGGTGGGACTAATTTTTTTTTAACGCAGAGATAGTTTAACCAGGATCTCTCTTAAGTTAAGAATGCTGATGCATAGATTTTATTTTATATTTTTGTTCCTGTACAGGTATATCAATTTGAGTAATTTAGACTTTTATAGTAATTTGCAAATTTTGAAAAATAAGTTTACAAATTATTCCAAACTATTATTTTATAAAATATTGGCACCGGTCCGAAATAGATCAAACGATGTGGGATACTACGTGAAGTTAACCTCCATCCAATTTTAAAATGATTCTAACAATTTAATTTTAAATTCATAACCCTAAAATAAAATGTTTTAAAATTATTTGCAATATATTGGCACAAGTTTAACACCGATCGGACAATGTGAGGGGACAAGTTGGACAACTTCACGGAAATGTCGAAATTATATTTCTCGTTTTGTTTAAAATGATCAGTTAATTTGTTATGTTATTAACAATATTGCTGCAAAATTTGGACCATATTTCTTTCAATTAATCCAGTTGATGTAGTGATAAATGATAAGAATTCTAGAAATAGATTTTAATTTAGCATGAAGTGCACACAAGATCGATCAAGTTTTAAAATCAAATTAACTAACCATAGGGTCTAAAATTCGAAAAAGTGGGTCAGTCAATCCCATATAAATTGTAATATTGATGTATACTTTACGCTAAATTAAATTTGTTTTTTATCACTTCACTACATCGATTGGTCGGATTGGAGGAAAATTAGTTTAAATTATCATGCTGTGTACGGATTAGAGTTTATCTAACACGTCTAACAGATATAGACCAAGAAATAAAATATAGGTATCCTATTTCCTTATAAAGTGAATATTTAAAAAAAAATCTATATCATAGTTTTTGTAGATATGACATTTGCGAGAAAGGATAAAAAAGATGATTTTACAAAGATGTTTTTTTTTTTTTTCTGTGGACAACTTTTCTACCAGCAATTTTGCTCTGATTTACAATGATAGCACTTTTTCTAAAAGAAAATTTAACTGAGGAGGTACTTTACAAAGGTAATTTTTCGATTTTCCTATAAGTTTTCTCAAGAAATAGGAAAAACCGGGACAAAACATGTAAAAATCGGGAAAATCATAGGAAAAATGGGAAAATCGGATCAATATTAAACAAATATAATTCAAAAAATTATATAATGCCTATTCAATTTGTTTACCATAATATGAATGATATATTGTTGACAAAACATCATTATAAACTAAACTCCGCTCAGAATCGTTTTTTCGTTAGCACTGGCTTATCGTTGCTTACAAATGTACATTAAATTCCCTTCTGTATTTTATCTTCCCAACTTCCCACCTAAATCTGTAGCTGCACCCGTCTCCATTATCCTAGCACAGCTTTTTTATTATTTGTATTAACTTTATAGAAAATTGTATAATGAACAACCAAAAATACCTCTGAAACCATAATAAATACTTTCATATTTGATTTGGTAAACCATTTTTGTTTTAGGCTTGTTAGATCCTGAATAAAATTTAAAATACGAAAACACATTTTTCTTCTCTGTTGCCCGTTAAATAGACAGAGACAGCAAATGTTACTGTACTCATAATCCAATATTGTTTCGAATTATTATATTCTCTGAAAATATCGATATACATAATATTATCGAATATTGCAGACCCTATAATATTATACATGTTACTGTTTATTATTTATGAGTACCTATTTAAAGTTTGTAGGGTGTATATAGTAACGGGTACAACATAGCGTGCAGTGAAATTTCGTGAGTTCTATAATTATTTCTTCAATTATGCCTATATCCGCACCTCTTATACCTTATAGACTTTGAAAATAATATGGTCACATAAATAAATAAAAAACATAATTTAGACTATTGACTCAATATTCGATATGTATTATTTATGTATATTATTTTTATAATATAATTTTATTTTAGAAATGTCTAATGAGGCAGGGGTGGCCCAAACAAAACAAATCCAAAGCATACATGTCTGTTAAAACATAACTATACAATATATTTCTAACGTACATTAACCAGTTTAAAATAATATCGTAATTAATAACCAAAATATATGTGTTTGACAGAAACATAACATTTAATTTAGGTATTATTTAATTAATTCAATAAAACGAATTATAATATAATATAAATTATAGTAAAAGTAAAGTTATAACAGCTGAAATACGCCTAGATTGTTTACTTGCATACAAATCAACTAGGTGGGTGCTTTTTCAACTTTTATTATGATTTCTGGGTTTATAAAGTATAAACGGTAAAACCGACCATACATCATAGTGATCCGATTTCGATGATTATTTTTTTTGTTGGAAAGACGCAGACGTTTTACAGCTCGCATTGAACTCCTTTTTCCAATGTTTTCATCACAAATTCTATAATGTAATGGCTATACAAATGGTAAACCTGTAACTTTATTATACCGTTATTCGAAATCAAACGAAAAATCAAAGTTCAACGCGAGCAGTAGAACATTGTTGTTTTTTGAATTTAAAGAAAATTGTAGACAAATATTATGTTGACAATGACGAGTTATCCCCATTCCCGCAGTCGTTTTGTCCGAAAAAAACAGTCGTAATAACATCGTTAGTTGTTTGCGATGATGTCATGTTTGTGCACGTTCATAATATAAAACCCCCGTGCAACACGTCTAATCCGACAACCGCCGTCGTCGTTTTACGGCGACCACCGAATAGCAGATAAGGATTTTATTTTTAGAACGCCTGGTTTACTTTGTCGTATGTTATTATAATAATAATACAAATACCAATAACAATAATTTTATAATAGCAATGTAATATTATACTATTGTTTATTAATTATTTTCATCATTTTTAAAAATATAAATTTTATTACCTATCTTTTTTTCTATATGTTGTCAAATCGTGAAAAGTAATAAGTGAATATACCAGTACACAAACAGCTTTTAACATATTGTCTAAGGATCTATTATTAGGTATTTCTTTTAACAAATAATGTTATTATGTATACAAATATCATTCATAAATATTCATTAGAGTTTTGATTTTATTTTTTCAAAATTAAGTATGACGTCCAGTTTTCCCAACAAAAATATTTGAACAGGTTTATTTTTAATCGTATTATATATAAGGTGCAAATCAATTCTCAATTGAGTAAACTTCGGAAGTTTGGAAGGTAGGACACATAAAGTTATTTAACTTATATCTGTGAGCACCAGTAAACCGAAATTGTTAACAAATTTCGTTTATACACATTTTTAAACGTCGTTAACGATTTTCGTGAAAATGTAATCAATGATAATCATTGATAACGAAAAACGATTTTGAATGGAATTCGGTTTTACGCATTTTGAAAGTCCATAATATTTACGATTTTAAAATAATACATTCCGTACATTTTCCCGTTTTGCCTAAACTTTTCCCGGGTTTTCCCATTTATTTCAAAAACTCTTGGGAAAATCAAATGACCTCTCCATAAAGTACCACCTCAGTATCGGTACTAAATAATCTGTATTTCCTATAGGTATATTTACCATTTTTATGAAACTATTTCAGAATGTCGCTTATAAATTTATTTATTTATTTATCGTATTAATATAATTAACTAATAATTTTATTTTTGTTACTGGTCACATGTGGAGCGGTTCAGCTGCATGTTAGCGATCGCGCCATCGTAGTCCGAAAGACGGCAGGTGGATATGTATATGTACATGTGTCAATGGTTTAATTAAAACCGCTATCAAACTGACTTAACATGACTATTATCGCAATTTATACGCTTTTAGTTTTTGAGTAATACCGAAAGAACCAGGAGGGGTGGGAGGTCGGTCTAAACTTTTGAAGAAACTTTTGAAATCGCAACCGCGTGCTGTTTGACCGCTTCCTATGGCGAGTGTAAACAATTAATCCCAACGATAATACTCGTATACAATACTATTAAAGTAACCACTCGAACAAATAAAAATTTATTAAGTTTTGAATAAACCTGTATTATTCGATGAAATATACGATTTCATTAATATAATTTTTTTTCAGATGCTCAGAATCGTTTTTTGTTAGCAATGATTTAAAATTTAAATTAAATTACTCCCTAAATTTTTTCATCCTACTTCTCTCCTTGTAATAAGAACATACCTAACAGCAATATCAGTTTAAAAAAAATAATTAAATTAACTCAACCATATATCGCTTTTTATTTTAATAAATGTACGCATTATAAAATAATTCGCTGCAAATATTATTTTGATTTTTTTAGTTCTGTTGTAGCCCACTTAAAGAGACAACTGAGACAAGCAGCACAAACTTATACCGGTTAGAGAGGAGTTTTTTTTTTATTAATATTCAATTATACCGAAAACAAATAAACGCGAAACAAAAATAGCAAAACTAAGGAGCTGATACTGTTCACTGCCCCTATTGTAGGTGAGAAGCTGATTAGTTAGGATATAGAAAATCAATTATTTAAGACCTGTAAGTCGATAAACCATTGCTAACGGAATACGATTCTGAGCGAAGTTTAGTTATACATATTTTATAACTTTATTAAACATTTTATAAATAGATGGAGTATTTGTTGAATAAAATGTTGCTGTCAAAATATTTAACTTCCATTGACAAGATATTCTACTTTTAAATACATTTTGGTGCTGACATTTCAGGTTTTCGTCAACTTGATAACTTGATTTAAGTTTTGATGAGGGGAGAGTCATGGTGCATCATTTGTACGACCTCAAGGCATTTTAACAGTGTTCAACCATTCTCCCCCCCTCTCTGAAACTTAAAAGTGGAATATCCTGTTATCAAGTTGACGAAAACCTGAAATGTCAGCACCAAAATGTATTTAAACTAATATACCATCTATTTATGTAATTTTTAATATGGGTTGCCATATATGTTTAATCTAAGTTATTAATATAGGATTTGGAAATCAAAAGTAAGTAGTGGTTACACCCCTTAAAATAAGGACGACAAAAAAAAAACCCATTATGTGACATTTTAGAGATGCTTATTTTTGAAATGAACTAAAAAATTATTCTGGAAAAAATTAATACTTTCCGAGATAATAAATGTCTTTCGTTATATCTATCACTCTGTATACCTATAACTACAACACCCCCAGATCGAAACCGCACTAATTGCGTATTTTCGTCGATTTCTTCTCCCCTTTATCACCTGCCACGAACGCCGAATAATGTTATAATATTCGTATACTTTGTATTATTATTCTTGCAGCAGGTGCCCGGACATAGGGACAACGACGAAAATCCAAAAAATGTCTCGGTTCAACCCTCTAATGACGGTGCTGATGAGTTCTCGGCCTCAACATGACCGACCGAACGGTAAAATCCGCGTATATCGCGAAGTCTTCATATAATATATATTTTTTTATTAACATTTTCTCAATATTATAAATTAATTATCACTTCATGGAGCAGCAGGCATGAACAACTTAGTCAAAAATTATAAAACAAATTAAAAATTCTATATTTTAAACATGATTATAAATTATTTTTTTCGTTAACTAATTAACTTGGTTAGGTAGTTTAAAACTTTTTATAGTTAATTTCCATAGGTGTCCAGTTAGGATAACTAGTTCAGGACGTATACATTTTTTCGAATTTCAATTTCAATTGGCTGTTCTCGGTACTGTGATTTATGCATTTATTATGATATTTTGATTTAGTTTATTTTTGAATAAATTTAAATTATATAAATATATATTACTTTAAATATTGTTTTTTTGTAGCAAAAAAAAAAAAACTCAAACTGAACTTTTTATTTGCGTATTTTTAATTTCACCGGTTCAATTTTGTTAATTTATATCTTTTTATTTATTCGACGTAACTTATTCAAGTTGATAATTTTCATTTACTCTTCCATCTTAGTATTACGTCATAATATAGACATTTGTTCAAATTTTCAGAAATTTTAATTACTTAGGAAATTTCTAAAATTAAACAAATTAAATAACATACAGTTTTAGACGAGAATTATATTTCTTAAACATTTTTCCGTGAGATATTGTCCAATAATCGATAAAAAAAAACCTCTCCCATCTACAATTCTTACTCTTTCCTATTATATGAGTAAAATGTTCGCTGATCATTGTTATTTGTTAAGGTAATACTGCTACAGAAGACGATAGCGGTCGGACCGGTAGAACTCCACTGACCAATTATCGGACTGTGGTCCTGGAACTTCCCGAACATTTGCTGTACAAACCGCATAAGAAGTCATCGGCTCCTTTGACGCGAGGACCGGTAGCCCGCAAGTGCAGAGTGCCCGACCCGGAAAAATTAAAAATCAATCTTAGATGGTAAAAGTGTCAATCGTATTAGTATTATATTATCAAGATAATATGATATGTTAACGTGTTGTATAGTGTAGTAATTATAGTTTAAGACGACATTGTTTTTACGTTCAATTTTTTTTTCTACTTCTAAATACAACTACGATTAACCTTGTATACATTTTTTGAGCATTTTCAAGGAAACAGAAAAAGTTTTATCGACAATTCACATTGTACATATATAATCATAGTAAAAACAAACAAACCAGAAATTTCAAATAGTTATTTCATAATAATTAAAAAAAAACGTGAGAATATTTTTAAAATCATATCACATCTATAATGTGATATTCTACGATCAAAAGGACGTGGCCGTTTAGACATTGAGACAGTATAGGATGTAAAAAAAAAATAAATAAATACAAATGTTAGTAAACAAATTACAATATAATATAATTAAAGTGCTATCTATTTATTATAATACGCAAAAAATGTTAAATAAAAATACGCTTTAATTAAAAATCATATACACAATATTAATTGAGTGAAATGAGCAATTCCATGTAAGAATTTTGTCTACTTTTATAATTTTAAACAATTTTTAAAGTTAATTTATATCCACATCAATAAATTTCTTTAAATTTTTAAAGTATTTGGAGAAAATTTCCAGTTTTCATTTAATTTCAATAAAAAAATAACAAAATCGAAATTAACAGTAAATAAATAATTGCATAAATATTCCCGTTTTTAGGCGTTTTTTTTCCCCGGTTGTTAACAAAAAGACCACGAATCAATACACCAATTAGAAAATAAAAACCATAATCAAATGGTCGGATGAAGTAAGATATTTTGTCATAAAGTGATTCACAACAGAAAAAAAAACATTGTGTTATAATGATAAATTATATATAATGCTTTAGAACAATATGTCGTACTTTTCACGATAACAGTAATTATTAGCATAACCGTGACCCGTCGAGGAGAGGCGATTGATCCATTTACCTCTCCTCCAGTAAATACGACGCCACTGTACGTGTAGAACAGGGGCGCTATGAATAGGGGGGATCTGGGATATTAGCTCCCCATGAGGTTGATAAGACGGAGCTTAGCCTCCCACAGTTCTCACATTACAAAAAAAATCAATATTTGCCATGTACATCAAAATACTAATTTTATTGTATAACAAATTAATTGAGAAAGATAAACGTTTTTTTTTTTTGATATCGATAGCAGAGAAAAAGTGTAGATTGTCTTTTCTATTGTCTTGATAACATACAAAACAATATCTATTACTTTAATAGATGAAATATTTAATAGATAAAACTATATTTTAGCAAATGTTTAACGAACAATTTAAGGAAAATAAAAAGGGGGCAATATATGATAAGATTTAGGTAAAATTGTACATGTCTCTATAAAATAATGAGCCCCCCCCGTGCCATTTTCAAAACCTGGCGTCTCTGGTGTAGAATCCATGCGTTTCCTGTATATTTTATGTTTTATACTGTCAGTGCAGATGGGCTTCATATCGCACGATAATATTGCGTACAATAATATAATGTACATAATATTATTATATTAATAAAATACGAGTATAATAAACGCGGCCGGTTTTTAAATGATTTTTTTTTTTTTTTCGTTTTTGTTTTAATGAAAGGGCTGCGCGGTGCCGATTGACCACCGACCGCGGCTTTTGTAAATTTTTGTGCTTACTCGGCGGCGCTCATTAGCTGACCCAGCAGTATGGCGTCTATCCCGCTGCGGCGTGATTTATGAATTCTATTCAAGGCGGTTTTCCGCGGCGGCGGTGGAGAAAAGAACAAAGTTGTTGACCGTTTTTCAATTAATCTCCCGAGGCGTCCGCCACCGCCGCCGCCTGCACACTCGACACGCCGTAGTAAACGCGCGTTTTGACACGGTCGCGCCGCGTTAAATACATTACCGCGGGCCCGTATACGCACGGCGAGTCGACTGGCCCGAGGACCGCGAGAGCCGACGGGCCCGCGCGGAACCGGCGTGCGAAACGCGACGGTCGTTCGCCTTTATTTTTGCATCTCCAGCCGGTCGAAATTCCAACGCGGACAACCGGATCTTCCCTGTGTCCGCGGTGATATTCATATAAACGCGTTTCAGGGTCCCGCGGGGATTTATATAGTTCGCCCACGTATTAATAGACAAGAGTCGCATTATTATTGTAAGTAGTTGGGTGCCGCGGTATCGTTTTTAACGATTCGGTAACGCGTTTATTGACGTACAGGGCGCGCGTGTTTTACGGGCTCTGCCATCGACCGATTCGAAGGTTGGCAACCTTGGATCCGCGTCCGCCAACCGAACGCGCGTTGTGCAAGGTCGTGCAAGACCGACATCCCCCGCCACCGTCGTCGTCCCGGTCGCAGGGTACGTGCGAAGGTTGTTTGCGTGTCAGTGTGCGTATACACACAAGTGTACAAGTGTATAGGTAGTATATTATATAGAACCGTGGAAAAAAAAAAATTAAATGTGTGCCGCGGCCGCAGCATGTGGTTATTCGTTCGCGGCATTCAAGTCTCCCGCCACCCCGTCACCACCGTACACCGCTATTGCACTCGAGAGAAAAAAAAACAGGTTATTTTGAAAGGGTCGCCTAAAGTCGCAGTCCGTTTGACTGACGTTCGGGAGGGGGGGGGGGGGAGGGGGGGGAACACAAAAT